GGAGCAGTGGCTTAGCAGGGGAGTTTCCTAAGTTCCCCTACCAGGCTTGCTTCCCGTACTGGATATTAGTTAAGTGTGCCTTGTTTGGCAATGATCTACTCTCGGTTCCAGCCTCTGCATGTGTCAGTGGGTATTGCAGCCTGCTCCTACCCAGCCTGTTCCCAGCCCATTTGCTGCAAGTGTCAGATGGGCTCCTGTTGAGTTCTGTGATCCACCTGTCATCATTCCTGTGGAACAGCGGGTGCAGCAGTCCCACAGAGATCTGCCCATAAGTCTCTTACAGAATCTACACCAAGGTCCAGGTCTGGTGGGTGCTATGCCTGGCCTGATGTGGCCCTCCCCTTCTCTGATATTCATGAGCGGGTACTGTGGACCAGCCCAGCCAGCCATGCCCTCCAGCCCCAACTTTGTGTGCACCCGAGGGAAGTGGGCAATACCATTCAGCCCAGCCCAAGTCTCCCGCTTAGGCAAATGCCTTGGCCTGACCCAGACATGACCTCTGGTTTGCTCCCCTAACCACTCTGTTGTGGGGAGCGGAGTGCTGAAGCCGCTCCCCAGAACAGGAAAGCCGGAATAGGAAAGGCAGTGACACAATGGCAGCTGGCCCAGGGCCAGGAGGTGGGGTGCATCTCGCCAGCAGGTAAACAGGAAGTCACAGGGACAGGCTGATGCCCTCGCTGTGATTTTGTCATTGCTACTGGCCTATCAGGTAATGCCAATGGACCCATGGGGAGAAGTGATTGGTGGAGAATGGTATAAAAGCAGCCAGTAAAAACTAAGGGGGGAACGACGAGGAGAAAGAGGGAGAGAAGAACGACAGAGGGAATGGGAAGAACAGGGCAGCAGAGAGGGGAAGAGGGGCTAAGATCTTTGGGTGGAAAAGTGGCAAAGAGGGGAACAAAAGTGGTACAGAAGCAGTAAGACCGACATACGGGGACAAGAATGGAGAAAAGGCAGTGGAGAGAAGGGTATAAATGCAGCCACTTTTGGCAATAAGGGTTCCAGCTTTTCCCAGACCCTCAAGAGTATGCCTCATTGTTAGTGTCGCTGCTGGGCAGTGACACTCTGTCTCAGCTCTCTCGTTTATCTGCAAGTGCTGTAGCTTGCTCTGTGGAAGCCCCTAGAAGTCATTACTCCCCTGTCAAACGTGCCCTCACCTGTTTCCACTCCAATATGTTCCATATCCCCTTCCCTGGGCAATCTGCAGCCCCGCCCCTTGCCCTGGGGGCCAGGGTACCATATCCTGGCCCAGTGTTCCCTGTCATCCCCATATATCTTAAGAATAAAAAATAAAAAAATTTCTTTTTTAAAAAAGGAGTAAGCAGGGCCTGGTGTGGTAGCCTAGCAGCTAAAGTCCTCTCCTCAAATGTGTCAGAATCCCATATGGGCCCTGGTTCTAATCCCAGCAGCTCTACTTCCCATCCAGCTCCCTGCCTGTGGCCTAGGAAAGCAGCTGAGGATGGCCCAAAGACTTGGTACTCTGCACCCATGTGGGAGACCTGGAGTAGGTTCCTGGCTCCTGGCTTCAGATAGGTGCAACAACGGCCATTGCGGTCACTTGGGGAGTGGGTCATCAGACAGAAGATCTTCCTCTCTGTCTCTCCTCCTCTCCGTGCATCTGACTTTACAGTAAAAATAAATAAATCTTAAAAAAAAAAATAGAAGTAAGCAACTGCTGGCATCCTGGTATAGTTAACATAAATTTTGCCTTAACTAGTGCCAGAATGCCCTCCAGCTACAGGCTACTCTTCTCCCAGTTACAACACTTGTCTAGATACTCAGGCAGCTGCCCAGGACTGGGGAGAATTAATACAACTTTTTTTTTTAATTGGAAAGTTAGATATACAGAAAGGAGAGGCAGACAGAAAGATCTGGGAGAATTAATAGAACTTTCATAATGACAAAAATGGCAACTTTTTTCTTACCTTTCATCCTAGCTAGCAGTTTGCCTTCTAAGGTGATTCTGATATCAAGCTAAGGGCAATTATTATCTTAATGTTGAGGGATGAAAAAAGTGGCTTATTGTTTTAAATTTCCAAACAAGCATGAAATAGAGTAGCCACACTATAATTCAACAAGCATTTACTGAGAACCATCTAATTATAATGTCAATCAAAAGAGACTAGAATAAACAGTGGCTGATTTCTTGGCTGGTAGTCTTCCTATATTTACCAAAAACACTTTAGAAACTGAGATCTTTAGTATTTACACAAGTAAATCAATGCCTCTTATTAATTCAGATCAGAGATTTATATAAATTAGACAAAATGTTTCCATAAAATCTTCTACATATTCAAACCTTCTGAAGTCTTTCATTTAAAATTGGCACAGACACCATGCTTAATGTTACAGAAAAAAAGGAAGGAAACCACTCAAGTACTATGTCACAGTAAAATTTTCATAATGTGAACACTTATATACAATTAAAATGGACTAAATTCACATAGTGCAGATGTTTCAAAAACATAGTTCTTTTAAAAAATATCCATTCCAATAACAAGTTAGAGGACTATAAAGTAAATTTTAGGTTTAAATTTCTGTCATACATACTGCCATCTTGAATCTGTACAAAATGGAGAACTCTATTTTATTTTTTTGACCAGGTGCAATTTTGGTGCACACAGTGAAATTTTTGGCAAAACGTTTGATACCAAGGAAGAATTATGAAATTAAAAGGTCTGTAAAAAAAATGCACACAGGTAGCCTCTTTAGTTAAATGGTGTCTTAAAGAGGACTGAAGTGGCAATGGGTCAACTACTTATACAAGTAAGAATGCATAAAATAAACAGTCTAGAAAATAATACACACTGCCTTTTATGGTTTCAAAGCAGATTTTTTAAATTGTATTAATAAATACCTATATGATAAGCATACCAAGGAAATTCAAAGGAAAAAAGGATCATTCTACTAGTTACTGATAAATACTTGGAATTGTTTTAAAGACAAAGTAAAAATTAAAGTAACATATTAATACTTAGCTTCTTTGAATAATTTCACATTGTCTAAATCCAGCAACAAAACCCACTTCAAAGTATAATTTTTCTGATGTTGTTAACTAAGAATTCAATTCCAAACTCTTTATTGTGACTTATCAATGTGAATAATCTTAGCTACTCTGTTTTCTGTCCTTTATAATAAACCAACCTTGTGGAGTAAAGAAAGACTGGAAAGTAAATACAGTTTGCAGCTCAATGTTAATACACAACAGGCACTCTAATGATAGATAATAGATACAACTCAAAAACTGAACGTCTGCATAAATTCTTCTGAGGCAAGTTCTTTCACACCAGTAGTGCTAGACACAGGAACATTTACAAAACTGTGTACAGATTATTAAGAAGACATTGCTTTTATTCCCCTCCTGGGATGCCATCAAAGATTTTGCTGCTGTAAACATCTTTTGGTTATATTTTGTGATACAGAATTTCAGAATCATGTTCAACAAAGAGGTTTCAATGAATAAGCCCAAAATGAATTTGAGCATTAATCCAACAATTACATACTTATCCTTTCTTGAATTTGTTCTACAGACTGTGGCTTCCTTGTTTCTTTATTTCTCATCTCCCATTCTTCATATCCCTATCTCTAATCTTCCCACGAACAGAGCATTCATCTACATTTGACTAAAGACGTGTGTCCTTCAGTTTCTAAAGCAAATGGTTCCTTTATAATATTTCCCTGTTTGTTAATGCAAAGGGAAAAGAACTAGCCATTAGAAATGAGAGTATAAAAAAAGTATCTTCTTAGGTTATGACATGAAGTTGCCTATAAGTGTAAATAATTACATCAACACTTAGTTCTTTTTAGGTTCTAGAATAGTGCTATCCAGAATTTTCACTGAGCACCAAAATGTATTATATTTCTTTCCCTCAATAAAATAGTCACTTCTCAAACCTAACCACTGAATGAAAGCATTGGAGAACTGAATTTTAAGTTTCAGGAAATTCATTACAACTCTAAAGGACACTACAGACTCGAGAAACTCTTTCACTTTACCATCTTAAGCATGGTCCAAATGCTTACACTAAACTTTTTTCAATCTTCTCTTATCACAAAGGTTAAATCGCTTGATGACATTACAATTGCAAAAGCAAAGGCTTTTTAAAGCTACCTTTAATATGTTCTTTTTTGTTCAAAAGTACTATGTTAAATTACTTTTTCTAATCACAGTATATTAAAAAAATAAAAAGCAAAACAATAGCATGCATCTCAGAGTGCTTGAAATCAAAACTCTAACAATCTGTATTTTCCACTGAATTCTCTGTCAGCTACATAATTAGCCTCAGGCTAAGATAATGACATAATTGAAGACAAGTACAGCACAAGCAGAAATCAGGCAAGAAATGAAAATCATTCTATACTTATTCACTGTTTCACAAAGATTAGTGAATGAAAAGTAGTACAAATTAAATGCAATAACACAATGTGGTAGAAAATGAAGAATTCCGTAATTCCTATCTCTAGTATTTGCCACAGACCAAAGTTGTCTCAATTTTCAAGGGATTTTCACTTGGCTGTTGATTATTTTTCCAATTTAATTGATGCATATACACATTGTTTTAAAGTAAAATTACTTTAAGTGGCAACTATAAGACCTCAAGGGTAGAAGTGTTTTAGGTTAATCCTTCCATCACTTCTCGCTCTCTCAGCCACTCATTCCACAAACACTTTCCTAAAGCACAAAGGTAGGTGTGCCGAAATAAACAATTATAATGCTTGTCTGTAGAAAGGAAATAATGGCCTCTCTGAGGCTGTCTTAACATCATCGCCACCAATCAATTCCTCCTTTCTTTGCCTATCTACTTGGCTTTGAGTAGATTTTGGTGGTGGGAAGGAGGGGGGTGGGAGAGTAGAACTTGTAAAACAATCTCAGCATTCAGGGATAGGATTCAAAAACATTCAAGTTATGTCGAAACAAGCTATGTGTTTAGCTACATACCAATTTTGGAATGACTGCTGATTTGTTTTCATTTGCTCTGAGGAAATGTAATAGAACTTACTATTTTGTGCCAGGGCTTGAAGAAGACAATCCAAGCATCCTTCTAAACTATCCTCGGTCTTGTCAACAGCTGTTATCTTCAGCTTCTTTAAGGTATCACTGAGATTATCTGCTTAAAAGGGAAACAAAAAATCAGAAATGCAACCCAGTTTATCACTGTCATTTTTTACCTCATTAAAGTATAAACAGTTATTACTAATACACAGAAAGTTCCCACTACAGTGAATTACCCCGCACATGCACTCCAAACTGCCACTGGGCTGTACTATTACAAATTATTTGAAATAAAGTTTTATCCACTGAAGTATGAAGCATTTGGTTTTTACGTGTAAAACAAAAAGTCCGTCGATTATCATAGAACATTCTTTTCTGTGTTCTTATATTTTATCCAACTTGAAAACCAAAATCAGTTATCAACTACAGTTGAGAAAAACTAAATTTCCAAAAACTTGATTTTTGGCCCTTTCTTGTATTTTAAAAATGTAAAATGAAAGAGAAATTTTGGAGAAGCCTCAAAATAATATAACTGCACAAGACATGAATTGTGCTGCCTAATACTTCATAACAGCTGCTTCAGCCCCCACCGGCGACACCAGCATCTCATTTTGAAGTGCTTTTTAGATCCAAGTTGCCCTGCTTCCAATTTACCTCTACAAAAATGTACCTAGGAAGGCAATGGATCATAACCCCAGTACTTGGGCTCCTGCTGCCCACATGGGAGACTCGGACTTCCTGTCCCTTTCCAGTCTGTGGCAGCAATTTATGGAGTGAATCAGCAAAGGAAAGATTTTTTTTTTTTTGTCTCTGTCATTTAGCCTTTCAAATAATAAACAAATCTCAGGCCCAGCATTGTGGTATAGAGGATTGTCACTTCCTGAGATGCTGACATTCTATAAGGGCACTGATTTCTATCCTGGCTGCTCTACTTCTGATGCAGCTTCCTACTAATGTGCCTAGAAAAGCAACCATAGATTCCCTAAGTGTGTGGGACCCTGTCACCCATATGAGAGACTTTGATGGTGATCCTGACTTCCTGGCCAACCAATCCCCAGCTGTCGAACTTCATATGGAGAGTGAACCGGTGAATGGAAAAATCTATTTATCTTTGTCTCTCCAACTCTGCCCATATGGGATGTCGACACTGCAGGCACAGCATTACACGTTAGGCTATGGCCCTAGCTACCTGAACATTCCTTAATAGTTTACCAAAACTTAGTAGGTGATAGTTCCTTAAACATTAACTGCCATGTGAAATCTGAAATAATTTCCAACTGCTACATTAAAATACAACGATGTTTAATACTTCGGATTTGATCTTCTCAAGCAGTGGTAAGAGTTAACAATTTCAGTCAGGGGTGGCTGTTGTCATACAATAGTTTAAGGCCCATATTGCATTTTGGAGTACCTGACCGAGGTTCTTGCTAAGGCACTTAGAGAACCCACAGATGATGCCTTGAAGTCCTGCCACCTAAGTGGGAGATCTGGAAGGAATTACTGGCTCCTGCTTTGGAGCAGTGCAGTGAAGGCTGTTGTAGAGCTCTAGAGAGTGAGCAAGTGGGTAGAAAATCTCTGTGTGTCTCTCTAATCGTGATAAATCAATGAATTTTTTTTTAATTTATTTTGAATTTTGAAATTTATGGTACAATTCCGTAGTATGGGATTTCCCCACCTCAAATTCCCACACCCAGGGTGTTTCTCCCCATGCTGTTGAAACAGTACAGTCCTTCACAGGAGTTAAAATTCCATCAGTCTGTGACGTAAGAGTATCCCGACACTGATGGTACAGACAATGTTAGACAGTCCATCATCCCACTGTCTAGATATGTCCAACAGTTATTATTGGGAATCTATCTTTGATTTGGAAGTAAGGATGTATTTTGTAATGTATCTTCACTTTTGGCTATGGTAGTCTCTAGTACTCCATCACTATACATTCCCTTAAATGAAAAGCCACGAAATAAGGGCAACAACAGGTATAAAGTTAACAACAAAAATACAGCACCATGGAGTAAAAAAAAAAAAAAATGCCACTGAATAAACAATGCGTGGGTGATTAAAAGAAAACACGAAAGCTAAATTTGCATCATGGTTTCCTTATATTAGAGAGAATACATGGTATTTATCCTTTTGGGATTGATTTATTTCCCTGAGCATAATGTTGGGACTATCTAGCTGCAAATGGCATAATTTCATTCTTTTAATTACTAAGTAATATTCCATAGAGTACATGTACCACTGTTTCTTTACCGTTTTTCTACTTCCCTTAACTGTAAAGTTAGCTGATTTACTTGGTGCTTTTCTAGTTTCTTAACATAAGCATTGACTGAAATGTACTTTCCTCTTAACACGGCCTTGATTATGTCCCATAACTTTTGATGTGAGTGTTGATGCCTTCATTTGTTTCAAGCACCTGTCTATCTGTTCACTCATCCATCCATACACCTACCCTCTCAGTTACTTGTGTAGAGTGAACTCATTAAAAATTTGAAGTATTTTATGTCAGGTGAAGTAGAAAATAAAGCTTATATTTCTGGATAAAATTTCAAGGAAGATACACTAAAAAATATGCTACTATAAATGACAGATTATTTCAAGATGTATTAGCCTAACATGATCCTTTCTAACATTGAGACTGGCTCTTCAGAACCATCTTACAAGCATTTTTGCCATCAGATTATTGAAAAAATTCTAAAAAATTCTAAAAATCAGCTTTTCTTAGATAGATGGGTGGGTGTGTTTATCATCTTGGGAAAACTATACCATTACTGACAGTAAAACCCACAGTGCATGACACTGCCAACCAAGCTCATAAAAGTTCATGACACTGCCAACCAAGCTCATAAAAGTTCAAGCCTTTTTTATCCTCCTTCAAATGTCATTCAGTTTTCCCCCTAAATCTACAGTTGCTCAGTAACAGCAGTAATATTTTAGATAAAAGGGATTAGTCTAAGAATATCTTATTCTTGAAGCTAATATAATTTTCACAAAATTAGTACCAATGGTCTCTTCACATGATTTTTACACACATCAAATATAAAAGAAAAACAGTTTCTGTACTAATTGGTTCTTTTAAGCACCTACAATGGAGTCAACGCATGGAAGGAAGAATTTGAAACTCATCTCGAAATGAACAGCATTAAGAAATATGAGGCAGTTGGTTGAGAGTTAGAAATAATAGCAATCTCTCCTGAATGTTAGGTGTCTCTTACATCAATGGTTTACTCTCTGAGAAAATGATGCCATTTAAAAAATATATCTAGTAAGATCATAATAATTGTTAGTATAACACGTGGAAACTACTACAATTAACAATTATAATATTTTGAAATTTATAACACTTACCGACTTGGTCCCTTATTTTGTTTAATATATGTTTACAGAGCTGATCCTAAGCCAATCTGAAAATCAAGGTCTCCAAACAAATTAACCTATTTCATATTCCCTTAAGCTATATGACATGAAAGGAAAAACACATTTTGTTTCTGCATAATAATGAATTTCAGCTAAGAGAGAACTCAAAGGCCAATAGAAGATTTGAAGTCACATCTAGTTACTGCCTCCTCCCTGATTTAAAAATAAATTTAAATTGCCTAATTTTCTTCTTCATGCTAGAATTAGTACATGAATAATGTTTTTGGAGTCTTAAGTAATCTGAGCCCACCTTCCCAACTTCTACTCATCCAGGCAAGTCCTCAGAAATGTGCTCTTTCCAGAATATATTACTAGTCTTTTAAAATTCTCCAGTGGCTTCTTGCCTCAAGTCCAAAATAAGTGACACGAAAAGCAAGAACCTCAATTTTATGCTTTGACTTCTCATTACTTTACCATACAACATCATGTTTGTCAGTCACTTAGATTACTGGCTTCTTCCCAGGCATGCCTCCATTTCTACATTTACGTGAATTAAATTCTTCTTGTCTACAATGACAGTGCATTTACCACTCAAAAAATTCACTTACTCTACAAAGTCAATTAACGTAACACTTCTTAAGTGAGTCTTCCTGTTCTCTGGCGTAAGATCAACTTCTTCCTTTGACAAGTTTCCATATTTTGTTCATATCTCAGCCACAGTATTCATTTCACTATTCTCTATATGAACAATTGCACAAAGGTTTTACCGAAACTACTCAACTCCAGGAGAGAAAGGGTAGTATATGCTAAAGATGAACAATGCACACCTGGAGCAATTCCATTTGCACTTAAATGAATTAAATGTGAGCCAGAATTTACATTTAAGAAGGTTTTCTTTTTTTTCTTCATACCATAGATAAAAAATAATCTATCTCTTTAACCTACAATGAGAATTAAATGAGGAGATACATTAAACAGGAACTACCAGCACACAGGAAGCAATCAACCAAGGCTGATGACTGCTGATACAATAGTTGTTACTGTCACCACTGCACACTCATCACACCCATCATTTGGTCATGCACGTAAACAGACATTCAAAAAATGACAGTGCTGAATACAGATTGTATTCAGTTTTCTTTTTTCATGGTTATTTAATACATTCAAATAAAGTATCATTAAAATGTATAACTTAAGATATCTGATTTTTTGTTTAATCTTTTTCCATGTCAATGAAACAGTATTTTTCTTTATAATTTTAATTTTTCATGATAAAGTTCCTTAGGCACAGGGGTTTCCCCTTCCACTCTCCCTGTCCCACTTAGCCCACTGTATTCCCCCACATTGTAACAATAGTAGAGTCCCAATAAAACAGTATTTTTAAAGACTTCATATTTGTCCCTCACATAATTACATACAAATATGCCAAAAAGGTTAGGACCTTTATTAACTGAATTGGAATTGTTTTCTGCATAATACTTATCTACATTTTTCTTAGTCCATAAAACCCTTAAAATTATTACAAGTCAGTCTGGATAGTTGTAAGTCATTCTTTTAAATAACAGCCATGCTTCAGAGAGTGCCTCAAGAAGTTTGTAGAGGGGTGAGCATTGTGGCACAAAGTTAAGCTTATATAAAACGCATGGATTTCACACCAACAAATTTTACCTTTTAAATGCATTCTCCATTAATCTTCTGAAGTGTCCCAATAGGGCATGGTTGGAGCCCAAGTTAATTATCCCTGCATGCACTGATCTTCAC